CCAGCACAAATCCAGGTTTTCTCACCCTCCACCCCCCCACACAAATTCACTCTCCTGCTGGTGCTAGCCCATCCAAAGTGACAACTCTTTACATAATCAAGTCGGGCTATTTCCTGCATAGATCCAGCACCAGCAGGAGAGTGAATTTGTGTGGGGGGGTGGAGGGTGAGAAAACCTGGATTTGTGCTGGAAATGGCCCACCTGTTGATCACTTTAGATAAGCTATTACCAGCAGGACAGTGGGGTGGGAGGAGGTATTGTTTCATATTCTCTGTGTGTATATAAAGTCTGCTGCAGTTTCCACGGTATGCATCTGATGAAGTGAGCTGTAGCTCACGAAAGCTCATGCTCAAATAAATTGGTTAGTCTCTAAGGTGCCACAAGTACTCCTTTTCTTTTTGCGAATACAGACTAACACGGCTGTTCCTCTGAAACCGATGATCAGTTACAGTCTCTGACACATCCACATGTTCTGGAATGGTGTTTGACCCTTCTTCTATTGGTGAAACAGTCTCTGAAACACCTACAGGTTTTGGAACTATGTCTGTGCTACTGAGAGAAGATGTTTCTGATGGATTCACTTTGAAAAATTATGCCAGCTTTGGAAGATTTTGGAGAATTTCACTAGTTTTTTTGTTTCTTTTCTTCCGCCAGTTTACATTTCTGTGCTCCACTCAGTTGGTTACGTTTCATCCTGCCCCTTATCTCAGTTATCTGAACTTAAAAAAAAAAATAAAAAATTACACAACGTATACTATTTTGTGTGTGTGTGTGTATATATATATGTCTGTGTGTGTGTGTGTGTATATATATATGAAAGGGGGAAAAAAACCGAATCAAGTATGTATAACTCAGAAGAATATATCAATAATAAAACAAATTTATTGCAATACATGACAGGATCTTATTTCCTTGCATTACTTCGATCTACGTTAGTAGGATGCCCCCCTGGTTTAGGTGGGGATAAGTAATAAAAAGAGAACAGAAAAACGGGGGAAGAGTGTGTCGTGGAGTGTAAGGAAGTCTAACAAAGTTCTGATTCATCCCATCCCTACTTTGATGCTTTTTTTTTTAAAATATCAAATTTTTTCCAACCTCTCCCCCCTCCCTTTTTTTTTGTGTGCTCCCTGCTTTGCTGGTGCGCTAAGCAGGTGCTTAGTCTGCCTATTGGGTAATCCAGCCCTGCTCACCCCAGAAATGGATGGGAGCAACAATGTAGCAGCAGATCCTCCTACCACACCTGCATCCTGCTGCTGTGCAGGGTGTTCCTATGGAACAGGGCATTGAATTCCCCCCCCCCTTAAATCCTGCTCTGCCCCCCATGCTTCTGTGTTTCTTTCTTCATTTCTTTCATGGTTCTTTCTCACTTGCTTCTTTCCCTGGACTCCCTTTTCCCCTTTTGATTTCTCCTTCTAGTCTCTCAGCCCCAGGCTCATTCTTCTTTACACTCATCCAAGATTACCTTGTTCTGTAGGATTTGGAATGCTCCTGTGCTCTTATTAATGCTACCTAGCTGGAGGGATCAGTCAGCAGCTCTTAGCACTTATACAGTGATGAATATTTTTCTATGAAAATTTTCATTTCCAAAAATGTAGTTTAGCCTCTCTTCCCTCCCCACCCCGCACTTTCTCTCACTTTTAATCCTTAATAATAACCCTCAATCTAGGGCTGGCAAGCCAGGGAGGAAGACATACCTTGGAAGCTCTCCGGGAGGACCAGAGCTAAACTTGCAGTGAGTTGGTGAGCCACAACACCAGTGGTTGGGACAAGGGCTTGAAGCCCAGAAGGTGACGTTCCCCAGAGATGCGCAGCGGCTGAACGGGATATGGACTGGAGTAGGAAGTGGCCCAGGGAAGCTGACTGGAGGCTGACACCATATGAAGACAGATGAACAGCCGAACCATCCTTACGAGGTCCTGAGTCAGAAGCTGGTGGAGTAGGGTGGGCCTAGGTTTCCCTACCCCATCCAAACCGTAGCCACTGGGCAGGACAGGTGCCATATTGGACTGTGTCCACTAGACAGGAACCCCTGCACCGTCCTGATCACAAAGCTGTATTGTATGTTGGAGTTCTCAGAGGATGCAGGATGCATCCGCATATGAAATTTTCTGACTCTTGTAGTGTCACATCTACTGTGAATTCAGGATGGCTTGGCAAACCAACTGGGCAAGTTGTTCGTCTTGGATCAGGAGTGGTCTGTCAACACAACAATACTAAGGTCAATATTTCAATTAGGAGGAATCCCTTTTGTGGAATTATTTGCAACCTGTCAGAACAGGAAATGCTGCCTGCTCTGGGGCAGGCCACAGCCCCGAAAACATCTCATATGCATTTCTCTGTCCCAGGGACAAGGGCCTACTCTATGCTTCTCCTCTGGTTCTGCTGATTCCCAAGGTCATTTCCAAGCTGAAGCAAGAGCAAGACAAAATGATATTCATTGTGTCAGCCTGAGCAAGGCAGCCAGACTTGCACAGATTGTCCATCAGGGAACTCTTACCTTGTCTTTAGGCAAGGGCTTGATATCCTAGAATCATGGGGCAGATGTTGCACCTGAATCTTCAGTTGTTACACCTCATGGTCTGGTTCTTCAGTGGCTAAACCTAGTGGAGGGACACTGTTTGTCCAGAAAGGCCTACTTAATAATAGGGAACTAATCCGCAAGGGCTACTTACCTTAGTGGAAGTATTTCTCTATCTGAGCAGCTAGCTATGGTATATTTCCTATGCAATCTATGATTCAAAAGATTTTGGACTATTACACTTAAGAGTCAGGTTTGGTGATCAGTTCTATCAAAGTGCACCTGGCTGCAATTTGTTTTGTTCTCATGTAATGGGTAGGATGGTATTCTCTAACCCTGTGTTCACCAGGTTTCTTAAAGGCCTAGAAAGACTGTTCACATCTATCAGAGGTCCTACTCCACAGTGGGATTTGAACTTCGTTTTGTCAGCCTTTATGGATCCCCCTTTCAAACCATTAGCCACCTGTTGGTTGCTTCACCTTTCAGGAAAGGTGGCCTTTCTAATAGCCATCTCTTCAGCAAGAGGAGTAGGGGAACTACATGCTCTAGTTACAGACCCTCCATACACTTTATATATATATATATATATATATACTTTTTTTTTACAAGGACAAGGTGCAGCTTAGGCAGCATCCTAAGTTTCTCTTCAAAGTAGTATCTGACTTCCACCTCAGCCAATCTATCTGTATACTGGTCTTCTATCCAAAATCACATGATCATAAAGATATCCAATAGCTCCATGCTTTGGATGTTCACTAAGCATTAGTTTTGTTTTTGTTTTTAATCTGGAAAGAACAAAGCCTTGTTGGATCTCTTCCCAGCTGTTGGTCTCCTGAATGGAACAAATGAGAGGACATTCTGTAACCACATACTTTCCAAGTAGATCACCAGCTGTATTGTCATGTACTACAAAATCATGGGTATTCAACAAGAGCACACTCAGCCTCTGTAGCATATGTGGGTCATGTCCCTATCATGGACATCCGAGGAGCAGCAACATGGTCTTCAGTCCACACCTATCATAGACATGAATGAGGATACTACAGTCTGTCCCTATATTAACTATTTACCTAACATTGTCTCCATTCATAGAATCACAAAAATGTAGGACTGGAAGGGACCTCAGTTGGTCATCTAGTCCAGTCCCCTGCACTGATGCAGGACTAAGTATTATCTAGACTAACCCTGACAGGTGTTTGTCTAATCTGCTCTTTAAAACCTCCAATGACAAAGATTCCATAACCTCCCTAGGTAATTTGTTCCAGTGTTTAACTACCCTGATAGTTAGGAAGTTTTCCTTAATGTCTAACCTCAAACTCCCTTGCTTCAATTTAAGCCTATTACTTCTTGTCCTGTCCTCAGGGGCTAGGGAGACAAATTTATTGCCCTACTCTTTATAACAAATGTTTATGTACTTAAAAGACTGTTATGTCCCCTCTCAGTGTTCTCTTCTCCAGACCAAAAAAAATGGGTTTGTTTACAACTTTTCCTGTAGGCCATGTTTTCTAGACCTATAATAATTTTTTGTTGCTCTCCTCTGGACTTTGTCCAATATGTCCACTTCTTTTCCAAAGTGTGGTGCCCAGAACTGTACACAGTGCTCCAGTTGAGGCTTTATCAGTGCCGAGTAGAGTGGAAGAATTACTATTTGTATCTTGCTAATACATACCATAAAAGGAAAAAAGCCAACATCATTTTGGGAACAGTTTTACATTGTTGACTCATTGAGTTTGTGATCCACTGTCACTCTCAAATTATTTTTCTGAAGTATTCCTTCCAAGGCAGTCATTTCCCATTTTGCACTTGTGCAACTGATTATTCCTTCCTAAGGGAGAACTTTGCATTTGTCCTTTATTGAATTTTATCCTGTTTATTTCAGACCATTTCTCTGGTTTGTCATGATCATTTTAAATTCTAATCCTGTCCTCCTAAGCACTTGCAACCCCTCCCAGCTTGGTATCACCCACAAAAGTGTACACTCTATGCCATTATCCAACCCATTTATGAAAATATTGAATAAAACTAGACCCAGGACAGGTCCCTGTGGGACCCCACTTAATATGCTCTTCCAGCTTGATTGTGAACCATTGATAACTACTCGGAGTACGGTTTTCCAACTAGTTGTGCATCCCCCTTCTAGTTGGTTCATCTTGGCTATATTTCCCTAGTTTGTTTATGAGAAGATCATGTGAGACTGTATCAAAAGCTTTACTAAAGTCAAGATATACCACATCTACTGCTTGTCCCAACCACAAGGCTTATTTACCACATTCTCTGTCTTCAGGATCATTTACATTGTTCTTGCTATCATCAGCATTTGAAAAGTGTATATAGAGTAGGAGGAAACCTGGCACATTTCTGACGTTGGATTGTCACAAGCCACTTCTAAAATTCTACATCTGTCTTTTTTAAGCTTAAAATAAGAGAGGGAAAAACAAAATAAGCTCACCACAGTCACACAGTTTAAAGTATACAACATATATTCATATACTGATTTTTATTAATACAATGCCTATTTTTGTAACAGCCACACTTTAAAAAAGACAGTTTATTCAACAACCATACATTTTCTATACATAACTTCCTTATAGACAGAAATTGTACATGAACAACGAGAAAGACTTTACAATACACACATATAATATGCAAGCACAAAGTTACTATGCTCAGCTTTTTGTAGCCAGTCTGAACTCCCCCAGCTGAGTTGTGTTAGTATATCTTCATACTTGTGTGGATTTAGAACCTTAAATCAGGACATTTGAGGCAAAAAATGAAAATGGACATTTTGTGTGCATCACATTACATATACTGAACTAGGAGAAGGGTGGGGTTTTTTTTGTTTGTTTGTTTTTAAATTTTGCTGAAAAACAGGGCCTGTTCATAAATACAGGGACTTGGCATGTATGAGCAGTGACTTAAGGTCTGGTCCAGAAATCAGTGGGACTTTTTCCTTTGATGTCAATGGGCTTTGGATCCTGCCCTTGCTGAGAAGGGCATATGTGACACTGGAATTGCAAGTTACTATATTTTTATAATTTTCTAATATAAAAGAGTAATGGTTTCTTTAAATGACTTCTGCATTCACCTTTGGAGTGAAGTTCTTGAGGTTAATGCAAAAGATGTCTTAATAGGGGGTCACAATAATGCAAAATGTCTCCATCTTGTACACATTTCTGCCCCGCACACTACAGCTCTGAGTTGGCTTGTTTTGTGTGACCGAGTCAAGGCTCATTGTTGACTCATTTAGTCTGTGATCCACTATAACTCCCAAATTCTTTTTTCTGCAGTAGTCCTTCCAAGGCCATCATTTCCCATTTTGTATTCACGTTACCTAGTTTCTCGTCTGTCACAAAAGACTCTGGCTGGTGATGTGACAAAATGGGTCACAAATTCATGAAAGCAAACCTATATTGCAGTATGCACATTTTTATGCATCTTGAAATATGATTTCACTCAAACATTGTTGCCGCTCTGCCAAACAAAGCCATTTAAACATATTGAGATTTTTATAAAGTCAGCTCTCATATCCTAGACATTTTACAAAATTTTAATATTCATTGCACAAATTCTAACCATTGCCCTAAAATACCCCAAATCAATCTCCCATGTCCAGCTTTACCCACCCATAAGATCACCCTTTCCCCTAATGCCTGCAGAAAGAGAGAGGCATTGCAGTGTGCCTGGAAAGTTAATAAATGTCCAGAGCTGTGGCAATTCTAGGATTTGGTAAAAGATCTGTTTATAGAGCAACGGGAACTCTATCAGCAGGAATTGTTCATTTAAAGAGAGATTGTGAGAGAATTAGATGCATTTTAGAAATGAATTTTACTTTTTAAATCCTGAATTTCTAGTGTATATGAATACCTGGCAGAAGCTGAGCACATATCAAACATCTGTAGCATGTTTTGCTCCTAAAGAACCTCTGAGCCAGATTCTTATCTCAATTATTCCGGTTTAAATCCTGAATAACGCCACTGCAATCAGTGTAGATATCCTAGACCTCAGTGGAGTAACTGAGATCAGAATTTGGCCTTCTATTCTTAAGGGATAGTTTGGTGATGGGTTTTCTTCCGTTGGGGAAATTGTCACCTTTTTATCCTAGGAAAAATGGCACAAATATTTTTTTCATTGTTTTGTTTATCTGTTTTAGGTAACAGAAAACATTACAGCATGGCATACTGACCTTTCTGCTTTGAATTTTTTCTTCTTTATTTGTGTATATTAGTTAAAAATCTCTAGGAGAAATCTTGACCCCACTGAAATCAATGCCAAAGCTTCCATTGACTTCCGTGGAGCCAGGACTTCTCCCTTAGCTACCAGAACAGTGAGCTATAGTACATTCACCTAAGCTAATCCACAAAATACACCTCAGAAAGATATTTGTTGTTACTGCCACATCTGAGATGACGATTCTGGTTAAACTCAGTAGCAATATTCTCATTTTAATTAAATATCATATAATGTATTCTATTAAGAAGCTGATGGTTCCATTATAATCTTTTTTAAAGACGTTTTCAGCTGTAGACTTTTCCTGACATTTACAATTTATCTTGTACAATTACACAATTGAAAACAAATAGTGTTTTTTTAAAGTTACCAAACATACTTGTACAAATAAAAAATATATAAAGTACACCTATTCATGTTTATAAACAAACTCCAAAGTTTCCTGACGTGTAATATCCATTGTGTCCTTTCTCTGAATTATTGTATTCTGCTTCAGCATAAGATTGTATTTATTCTTAATCATACTTCTGTGTCACAAAACCCTTTAGTCTTTTATTAAAAAAACTTTTGGTCTTGCGTGATAGAAGTGCTGTATGATTAAAAATAGATACTATGTATATTATAGAAAAGATTCTGTATATTATAGAAAAGAACTGTATTTGTTCCAGTTCACCCCAGATGTGTATTAGGTGGATATGGATCTAAACTCTGTCACACACTAATACTTCTGGACTATACAACCATTCTTGTTAAAGAAAAATGGGAAAATTCTGATATTAAAACCATTAAGGGGTTATGTTGGTGGTTAAGTGTGTTGATAATGTGGCAGTTAGCCTGAACAGTGATAATACTGGATTCTCTAATGATTTCCTAACATGCTGTTGTCTCATCCACCTTGTCTAAGTATCAGAAGTTTTAGAAATTTCCCTTGCTGCCCAGCGACAATAGAAGTGCCACGTTAAAGATTCAGGATTGGCAAATTTATGGTCTGATCTCCAAGGTTCAGAGTGTCTCTTAAATGGTGCTGAGTGCCCTCAACCCCTGTTGGGCAAAATCCTGAAACTTTTACTCAGTTCTTATTCAAGCAATTAGACTTTGCAGTCTTCAGTGGCAGTTTGCCTGACTAAGGACAGGGTAAAAACTGGATACAGATTTCAAAATTTGGCCCAGTGACTTCAGTGGAAAATGAGGGTGAACAGAAGCTCTCAAGAGGTGCTCAGCTCCTTGGGCTTTTACCACAGTAGGTAATAATTAAAAAGAATACTTTTTAATCTAATATAAAATATAGGATGCTTAGATTTTTGTTTCATATTCACAAACAAGCTTCCAAAAATGTGATCACAAGATTTCTACATGCACCCATAAGAATGCACATTATTGAAGGAAATGTATATTTGGAAAACTATGGTCTATGAGGACAAATTTCAAAACACTGGGATCTTGTTTTTTGCCTGTACAATTTGCAGGTGCAAGTGGCTGCAGGCTCCCTGTACAAAATTTGTTAGTACAATCTAACTGGAGCTATCAGGTATTTAGACATTGAAATGATTTATTCTGTTTTTTGGGTGCAGAAAGAGAGCCCAATAAAGGCTGGATTCCAAAGTAAGCCCTTAGAGTTCAATGAACAACACTGCAATTCTCTGAAGCACCATGGAGATCTTGATGATGGTTATTTTTTTCATATGCCATAAACCTCACACACTCATCTCAAATGACTGTTGGAATCACGTTCCCAGTGTAAAGAGCCCTACCCAAATGGATTAGGATTAAGCTACCATTCATCCGTGACTCAGGCTTTAATCTGGAGTTCAAGTTTTGAGTTTGGAGTCAATTATGTCAAAATCCTGTGAACTGTTTTTAGGACAAAATGATGGAAAAAACTGGCAAGATGACATGATCTCAAAGGAGTTCTCTTTTATCTTGAATCAAAATATAATACGTGGGGTCAAAATCTTGCAAGAAAAAGCTGCTTGTGTGAGAGAATGGCCATATCTGAACCTGCACTGAAATACATCCTTTATAGTTTGGGATTCAACCCAAACCAAAACTGAGTTTGTATCTGGGGACAGAGCAAGCAAACTATTTATTACAATCACTGTTTTGCTTTTGCAGGAAAACAGATATCTGACCATAAGCTTCAGTTGTCTGAATTTAATTATGTATACTAGTTGGCCGACAGTCAAAATGAATACAAATGCAGTTATGTATTTTTATGTCTGTCTAGTAAGGCATTATTTTAGCTGTGCCTTACTGAGGAAGTGGCTCTTCCTACTTCAGCGGGTGAGCACTGATCCATGTTTAACAAAGATCTCTTGATACAGACTATGTTTTGTGACCTTCACTTTGAGGTTGCAGTCTGGTGTAGCTACTGAAAGACACTGCAACTGTGGGTCAAGTAAGTCCTACTTGCAGCACACAGGGTGGTTGGTATTCCTGCATGTGCAGGGGCCAGAACAAAGCCTATGAACCACTTAAGCCCTATTTGGGGTTTGAGTTAGTCTTAAGTGTATTTAAGTGGCGCACAGAGCTGAATCCCATCCACCTTGACTTCAATAGGATCACCCACATGAGTTTGTGTAACAGCAGACTGGATTTGGAACTTATCAGGACTTGATACAAAAGGAATTTTTAACCCAATCTTATGTAACTTTCCTCCTGTAGAATTCACAAATAATATAAAAATTCAGTACAGTTTGAACTATAGTTATTTTGAAGCTGCCTGGTTACATTTCAGTCAGTAAAACTTAAATATCAGCAAGTCAGCTATAGGTCTGCATTTGATCCTAATACAGGAGCAAGAGTTTTATGTTGTATTGTTTTAAATAATTCTTACAAACATTTCTATGTACAAGATGCCACTGTGTTTTTCCTACTCATGTAAACAGACGTCTTATAGTTCCTCTTTTTTTCCAAAGTACAAACGTAAGCAGGGCCAGTAAGTCGTATGGTATTTACAACCAGGTTCATCGACTGAATCTTGACTGCCATCCTGTAGCTTGGATATGGTTCTAAGATAGAATAGCATTGTCTCTTTCATGTACAATACTGCTCTTTTCACACTCATCACAAATTTACCCAGCGCCTTAAGAATACTCATCCACTGATGTATAGGGTGAGCTGATAAAACTCGAGGTTGTAGAGGTGGTTTTGGAATTCCTGCGTGAACAGCCATTAAAGCTTGTGTCCCGCGAAGCAGCTCTTTTCTTACGGGTGGACTTGGAATGATCTCCATCATTGGGGTCAAACACTACTGTTGTGCTAGACTCCATTCTGGATACCGTGTACAAGCTACTTTGTCTGGTGGGATGAAACCTGGCTGCCTTGAGCTCCAGCTCATCATAGCTGGACACCTCAATAAATGGGCACCAACGGAATGCTCTCTTGAAACCGGCTCGGAATCTGAAAGGAAAGATACTTCTTTGAAAGCATTCATAGGCAATGCGTAGGGGGTCATGCAGGGTGAAGTGCTCCTCCCCCACATATTTCTGCTCAGCCTTCCAGTGGAGAGGGAGAGGGGTTCTGTACTTCTACTGCATCTGCCCCCTGGCACCTGTTCCTGGCAGCCAGGTCTGGGCAGGGCGCAGAAGGGAAGGGACAGAGTCATGTCTCATGCTGGCTGAGTGTGGCCACTCCAGGTCACTGCCTCTGTGCAGCGCAGCAGCTGCCTGAGAGACAGCCTGGCTGGAAGGTGGCAGCTGCCTGCCTCCTCTGCTACCCACCCGGGTTTCTGGCTTGCTCAGCTCCTGTCCCTGGTAGCCTGACCTGGGCGGGAGTGGAGGGGGTAGGCTGCTGCCTCCCTAGCCAGGTTCTCTCTCAAGCTCTTGATGGCTTTAATTCAGTAATACTAATGGAATCACTGAAAAATTAGCAGGTATCAGCTGTGAAGAGGTGTAATGGCACATATTCTGAATAGTATTTATTTAGACCCTGATCCTGCAATCTGATCCAGGCAAGGTAACTCATGCCCATAAAGAGTCCCTTAAACAGTCGTGGCGTGATTTTTCAAAAGGGTAAGCACCCACAAATCCCAGGGAAGTCAACTGCAAATGCAGCCCCCTTGAAAATAAGATCCTAGGAGTGTATGTGACTTTTTTCCCCCCAGTATCTCCAACTACATATGCTTCAGTACTGAGTAATAAGGCTATGAACATTCATTTTATCATCCGATTCAGACTGCAATGTATAATAAAAATATTGTGATGTGATCAATAATACTACAATAAAAGCTTTATTTTACATTGCATTCTGACCCCCACCTCGTAAAGTCATGCTATACATATCTTTGGAGTAATGATTAGTTAGTGGTGTATGCCACAATCTATATGTTTGCTAACAGCAAAGCAACCTTAATTTACATTTGGTGTATTTTAAACAATTAGGGCCTGGTTCTGCAAGCCCTGACAAGTGCAACTTCCATTGATGTTCTTACGTGTTCTGCATGTGGAACGTGGCAGGCGGACTAAGCCCCCCCCCACCCCAAGGCTAAATTTTGCTCTTACATTTGTCAATGCCACAAGTGTTTATTGGAAGAATAGTATTAGCATGGAACAGAAACCTGAAGGAGGCTTTTACCTCACATGAGATATATATATTTTTTTCTCTCATTGGGAATCTTTACTAATGAAGTGAAAATTACTCTGTCTCTTTCACATTCAAATCATTTATATTCTGGCTAAGCTCTCACACACCCAATAGTTTCATAATTCTCTCTTACCTCTTATTAAGGCAGCAGTAGATAATGGGATTGTACATTGTGGAGCTCATGGCTAGCCAAAAGCTGGCTAGGTAGATTTGCTGAATATATTTCCACCGATTTAAGTGTTGGTAGATCCCAGTAACTATGAAATAAATGTGGTAGGGCAACCAGCAGATTGCAAATGTCAACACAACGACAATCATCATTTTTACCACCTGAAAGAAGGAAGCAATAAGGCCATTTTATAATATATGTTATCTTGCGTCACACCTAGTACAAAGGTGTCCACATCACAAGCACCACTGCGGCTAGCACCAATTGGACCTCTTCTTGATCATCTCCCTGTTAAAGTTAGTGAAGTTGTAGCAGGGATGAACATTTTTTAACAGCATTTTTGTTTTTAATCTGAATTTCCTGTGTCTCCATTTTTCTCTGGAGAACAGCATCCTCCTCAATAATTGAACTTGGTACCAAAAATTGAAAAAAAATTAGTGACTGAAGCTTGGACTTGTTCAATATTATCATTTCCCTAGGTCATTAGCCATAGACTACGGTTATCCTATTTTCCATTTAGCCACCCCTGCATGGCCTTTATTGCCCCAAAGTCCGTTGTAGAGAAGAGACTCCTCTCTAACTGCTAAACAACTATATCCCTAGGTCCTTGATGGGAGTTGAGTGATCAGTGACCCTCAGGGAATGCCCACCAGAAGCAATCTCCATTCTTAATTTAGTTTCAGATGGCGTACATCCAGAAGTATGACAGGCTGGTGATCTTCATCATCTTCCCTGGTTTTGTGTGGCATCACAGTCCCCAAATCACAATAAAAGACAAACGAAGAGAAGCTTTGGTCAGTGTGAAAGGCAAGGAGAGAAAGTCTTGCAAGACAGAGGAAGTAAGCATTAAACAAAAGTGTTTCTAGCTGCCATCTTGCCCGCTTCAGCTACAGATATTGCTAGACCAGTCATTCTCAACACACAATGTCAGAAATAAGCATGGTAGATTTTATTTTGTGTGTATAAAATGAAAACTAGCCTGAATAGACTTATACTGTACATCTGTTGGCCATGTATATGTATGCATGTTACAAGCAGAACTGGTATTACCACCTATATTTAGGGTTGCCTGTCACTTCCCATTATAAAAACCCTGTTTCCAGTTGCTTTCAACTTTTTGCCAAACTTTAAGCACAAGAGCTGAAATTTTCCATGTCAAGTATCTCTCTCATGCTGTTTTTTTTTTTTTTTTTTAAAGCTTTAGCTAAACCTGTTCAACCTTAATCTGGCCCTGTGGTACATATGGATGATGGTACAGATTGTAATTACATGAATACATGCTCATGTTTTTCACACACAAATTACTTTTCATTAAATTTCTGCTACCAGATTCAGTGGGCTAATAGAAATATTGTGTTTGAAACAATCATAGTTCAGACTGGGTTATATTTCACTCTTTTTTTTTTTTTTGTGGACATACTTTCCAGCTGTTCATCGGTGATGAAACTACTCCTGCAACTATAAATTGTACTGCTAGAAGACTTGGTGCATACTTGCACCATATGTTAGCATTGAATCCCCTGATTTTCAGAAGGGCCTCCAGTTTTGCATCCACATTTTTGTGCAGGTTAGGAACTGTTATCATTTTGAACTTGCAGGCATATTTCATAGCACTTAAATGTTTAATTACTTGTAACCAAAATTAGTCAGATAAAAACCTGATACAACAAATATTTTAATAAAATTACCCCTGAAAATACTTACCAGTGGAACAAAATAGGTGGAAAATAGGAGGCTGCTAATGAAAATCAGACCCCAATTCTTTATAGTCTAAAAAGTCAGTTTAGCATGTTATGCAAACAATCCATCTATACAGTGCTTGAGAAACTGAAGCAGCAGAGCCTTTCAGTAATGTATTTGGTTTAAACTGGCTGCACACTGATTCTCATACCCTGGAGCTGCAGGAATTGCTACAACAGTAACATTACAGGTTACCAATTCTGGCATCACTAAAATGTGTTAGCCCCACAATTTCCAGAGAAAGTAGCCTTTCTCTTTCTAACACCTAAGCTGTTACAAAAGCAGGTTAATGTGTAGACACTTAAAGGGCAAGTCAAGCCACTCTAGAGGAGTTGCTGATTTAAAAGATCATCTGAAGGTCTCCCGAAGAAACACAAATAAGCCAGTGAATGCAGGGTCAGCTTAACCTGTTGCTGTCTCTGCCTTGAGTTTGGTATATGAAAATTTTGCACAAGCACTGTGGCAGGGGAGAAATTATTGAAGTGAATTGCTTAGATGGCTGTACTGGACTTGTACAAAGTTGACTTGTTTAGATGGCTAACATTCTTTCTGTTTAGTCTGCTACAGTGAAGTTGCGCACCACAGGAAAGTCAGGCAATGAAGCACATCACAATGTGATTATATGGAGCTTTCTTGGTGTAATGATTTCAGATGCACAAATTTGTTCTTAATGAAAAACAAAACTACTATGATAGAGGTCTATAAAATCATAACTGATGTGGAGAAAGTAAATAAGGAAGTGTTCTTTACTCCTTCTCATAACACAAGAACTAGGGGCCACCAAATGAAATTAATAGCAAGTTTAAAACAAACAAAAAAGGAAGTATTTTTTTTCGCACAGTCAACCTGTAGAACTCCTTGCCAGCGGATGTTGTGAAGGTCAAGACAATAACAGGATTAAAAAAAGAACTAGATAAATTCATGGAGGATAGGTCCATCAATAGCTATTAGCCAGGATGGGCAGGGATGGTGTTCTTAGCTTCTGTTTTCCAGAAGCTGGGAATGGGTGACAGGGGATGGATCACTTGATGATTACCTGTTCTGTTCATTCCCTCTGGGGCACCTGGCATTGGCCACTGTCAAAAGACAGGGTACTGGTCTAGATGGACCTTTGGTCTGACCCAGTAGGGCCATTCTTATGTTCTACTTGAATGTGATAAGGCATAGCTCAGTGGTTTGAAGCATTGGCCTGCTAAACCCAGGGTTGTGAGTTCAATCCTTGAGGGGGCCATTTAGGGAGCTGGGGCAAAAATTGGGGATTGGTCCGGCTTTGGACAAGGGGTGGGTTGGACTAGATGACCTTCTGAGGTCCCTTCCAACCCTGATATTCTATGATAAAAAACCAAATGTAATCCACTGTAACTCATTATGTGAATCCATTCAGTCCTCTTGCTCTATCCAAATATTATTAGATGTAAGTGTTTCTCTCCTTAACAGTAACTGGTAGCTAACAAATAGGATCTACATTCATCGTTTATAAATACAAAATTTTGTATCAGTTTGACTCAGTTTAATGAAAAGTCCTGAAAAGAAGAAACTCTGGCACAAGCTCCAGAAAAGAGTTAAGCTACAGCACAAGAAGGAGAATGAAACTTGTACCAAATTTCTCCCAATCTCCAGATTATACCTACACTAGAAATTTTAGCAAAAAAACCCCTTCTGGTGTTATTGCTCATTCAGCTCTGGAGAAGAAAGCATCTTAATAATTTTGTTATTTGAATTGTATAGAGTGCATCTAGCAATACAGAAATCAGTTTATTTTCTTTTTTTAATATGTATGTTTTGCTCTTTTTTGATATACTGCCATTTTCAGCTGCTTTTTTCCTTTGTTCCATGTTGTGTTACATTCATTAATGAACGATTGCCATTTGTGCAGATGGAAAAGATTTTTATGAAGCAAGCAAGCCAGGGAAGTACATGACTTTTCATTTCTACATAATCTCTTGACCAGACCCTCAACCCTATTCTAGCTGCTATGTGCTGTCCTGCCACCATAAATCACTAAGAAACCAGTGGGTCCAGCTACTGGTGGCTTCCACCACTGTAGACTCCTAGCTGTTGAAACAGTCCCTGGGCTGGAGGGCAGTCGGGTATGCTTTGAGCAATCATGAGGTTGTGAGTAGAGCTGGTAGGAAAATGTTTTTTGTTTTTTTTTCCTCATGAAAAATGTTAATTTTTTCCCCCCATTTTTCTCAAAAATTTCTGCTGAAAAATTTCCACATTTTGGTGAAACATCAAAACCTGAAAACCTTTCAATTTTGGGGTGTTTGTTTGTTTTTTTTTTTTGGATGAAGTTTCCAATTTGTCTGCAGAAAGCAGACACTCTCAGTGAAAAATTCTCTTTAGTTGAAAACCCAGTTTTACATTGAAAAACAGTTCAACCAGCCTTAGCTGCAAGCCATGTTTACTTTACCTCCCTCAGCTGCTCTGACTGTATCTCCACCACACCTGAGTATCTAACTCTTTAACTCTTGTGAGATATCTGCATAAAGACAATGTGAATATTGCAGGATTTCCTATAAAGAAATTTTCCACATTTGTTATATTACTTAGGGCTGATCTTGCAGATCCTCATGTAGGAACAGGATTTTATAATTGTACTATAAGAATAGAGGTACAACTGTATGTCTTGATTTCATTTTACCAGCCACCCCATTTGAATAGCAGAAAGGAATTACTCTCTGGGACATTGGTAGAAATGCATCTGACAGACTGCCAGTGTCTGTACTGATGTTAAGGCAGGGACAGACCAGAACAATCCTTATGACTGATTCTGGTCACCCTTTTGTTTTAGGATAAGTTATAATGTCTACTATGGTTTCCTATATGTATTATAAATTAAGCACTCTAATTAAATATACATTTCTTTGTTTTAAGGTTTAGTAAGTAAGAGACAGGATCTTGTATTGTGTCTATGTTAAGGAGATTCAAAATAAACTGACACTGTTTGTATTCTCAAAGGTCTCTGTAAAAGACTGTTTGTGTGAATGAGGAATATATGCATCAGGAAAAGATAAGGTGTGAAGGCCATTGTTATAGCCAGATGGTCAAGGAAGAAGGAGTGAAGAGACTTAAGGACACCAGAGAATCATCAACGCGCATCCATAATGAAGGAAGGGCAGATTGACGACCCTGAGGTGAAAGCTGGTACCCCTAAAGACAGGACAATTGATTAAATCAGAACCAGGACAGGATAACCCTCTTGGAGGTGTATTGGAATGCTTACGTCAAAAGATACACCAATTAAGAAGTAACTGGTCACAGACTGACACAGCAAAATCCATAGACTTCAACAGAGAAAAAAGACTATGAGAACAGGGTGCTTGGCTGTGGGACTTTGGGTTTGTCTTGCCACACTCCAGGAGTATCAGATCACAACCGACAGAGCCCTGCTCCCCTCTGCAACCAATCTGGCTGGCCA